CTTTATTGGATCAATGAATATCTAGCTATCTGTCTGTGTTTGTACCTATATATTCCAAAGTTCAAAGAAGGCAAATGTTAGACAGATTCTTGCAGTGGAAGCTGCATATGTTTGACAGCATCTGTCAATATTCCAATAAATACATCATGATTAATTGTATCTCACACAGCAGAATACATCCTAGGTAAATTCAATCAATTTTCCTGGGCAAGGGACAAATTCTCCTTTCCTACACAGAAATACAATGTACTACTATTACTGCAAAAACTATACAAAATGATGGTGCAAACTACAAAAAATAAAGCACAAAGTAGGTACAAGGGGACAGGCACACTTTCCCAACTCAGTCTGAACTATCTGTTTGAGGAAAATAAAGCTACAGAACTAAGCCTAGTTTAGAAAAACACAAAGGAATAAATAACTTCAACCACACAAAAGTTGTACTGAAATTAGTGGGACAACTTACAAGTTTTCATTAGGAGAAATTCTTTATAGATGGAGTTCATGGTATAAATATTAACATGCAGTGCTTTAACACAGTCTTGCATTGCCATGTCAGCTCTTTCCACCACCTACAATAAGCTTTGGCATTAATTCAGACACCCACTGTCTTTTCAGAAGAAAGCAATTTAAAGAAAGTAGAGAGGTCTAAATTATTCCTCTATTTAATTTTCCCTTATTAAAGACAGTGGGCACAGTAGGTATAAACAAAACTGAAAGTACTCAGTAGTTTGTAGAGTCTAAAGTACTGATTTCTTCTAGGTGGTACCTGGGGATCCCTCCAGTAAAAATGAAACTGTGGTAGATGTGAATATTCTGACTTCTCCTACTTTCACCATTAAAGTTCCTCCCAATTTAGACCCAGAGAGTGCTGAATTCATTGAATATGTAGCTGGGAAAGCACTGCAACTGTATAAGCAGAATTTTTAAGTGGTAAGTTCCTTCTTTCTCCTTTCATGGAAAACACAATTCTTCCTAACAGGTGTTTACATTGCAATAAACTTTACTTGGAACAGAATTCAGTCATGGTATATACAAGACTGCCTCCTCAGAAACGACATATTGATTAAGACAAACAGAAGCGTTATGGAAAACAGAAACAAACACTCAATGTTCTAGCCTGCAAACACAGACACAATGATATTAAATGATTTGACTTATTTAACTGTGAAACCCTAGATCTTTAAGTAACATCTGGGATGAGGTAACATGATGATAAATATTTCTTTAGAAAAGAATTGCCTCACAATCACAGTCCACTGTCTTGGCATCAAAACCCACGTCTTTGTGTTTATTCATCATGAACGAACTGGAATTGCCACTATTCATTATGTTTTTTATTTTCAGTGGTGTTTAAGAGCATGCTTGTATTATTTTTCATGATAAAGGACTGCAAAGTGAGAATTACCCCCAGGACTTGAAAGATCTGTCTTATCATAACATTTCTCCATTAGCATCACTGCTCAGATTAACAGAGTAAACAGAATCTGCAGTTCAACTTGCAGGAACATGCACAGAAAGATCCTTCTCACAGGCTTCTAACCATTTTTGTAGAAGTCTCCCTTCATGTTTAAGGGATTTCCAGATGAGGAAGGAAGAACCAGGCAGGCAGGCAGGCAGGGATTAAAAAATGGTACATAATCTCTAACCCGACAGGGAATCTCCAGGAAAGATGGGGTGGGTTTAGGTGGCATCATGCTGCTGTGCGGCTTGTAAGCCACCCTTCCCTGGGTTTTCCTTCCCAGGGGGCCCTGGGATGCACAGGTTTAGTGACCTCTTACAAGTGGCTTTACCAGGGGACAGAGCTGCAAGATGCATGAGACCTTTAGGCAAATCACTACGTTGTCCCCCCAGTCCTCTGAATAGGACTAGATTTGGACACAGCTCCCTTTTAGATCATTGGGTGTCTGATATCCTCAACTCAGCAATTGAAGCATGACCTGAACACACAGGGAAGTCTGAGGAGGCGTGTAAAAAGCATTCAACATTAACAAAGTAGATGAAGAAAATTTCAGTATTCAAAAGAATAACTGTGGTTATTCTTTTGAGGTTAGACATACAATTTTTAAACAGATGAAAGAAATCATTCCCACCAGAGAGGCTGAGGTGGGCTGCAGAATTTAGGCATAATATAATAAGCCTCAGCATGAACTTTGTTTAGGTAAATATTGGTGAAATGATGAGTATATTATATTTAAAATACAAACATGTCTAATATTTACAAACATATCAAATAAAATGTTCAAACAGTTTCTGTAAAAACTTTCTTCGAAATTCCCTGTAATTGATATGCACTTATTGACAATATACACTCTTTCGGATCATGGAATACTAATCTTCAAGGCCTAATAATGAGAATAATTATTTCCTTAGTCTGATTATGATTTTTAGCCTGAATTTTAGTCTGATTTTTCTGAGCAACATATCTTGTGTAGCCATTTCATACCTGAGAAAAGTAAGTGGCATTGATTTCCAAATCACACTACCATTTTACGTTGAGTTTGCACAAGATTACACATTTACATGAAAATGTGATGATAAAAAAAAGAGGTAAAAGTCTATAAGAAAGTGGAAAGATCTATAAGAACGAAAAAAGAGGAAAAAATCCATTTCTCTTTCGTTTTTATGTTATTTATGTTTCTATAGTAGGGCACTGATACATTCCACATATACTAATTTTTCTAACATATTTTTCTCAGTCCAAAACCAAAATGTATAATTTCTTTTTTTTTTTTGTTGTTTTCCTCCTAGGAAAGAAGATGTGTGAAATCTTTCTTCCTTGACCACTATGGCTGAAATACCCCTACGCTCAACATACAGCTAATTGTTAAATTACTATGGTTAAAATAGTTGCATATAAATAAAATTTTGCTTAGTAAATACTGTGACATATGAGCTATCAACCAAAGACTGTAGAAATCTTTTAAATTAAAACCAAAACAAATCCATCTTAATATTCATTTATTTAAATAAAATGTTATTTATGTTGTAAATTAGGTAATCTTTGATAACGAGCTATGGCTCTGGTTATCCAAATATTTAAGAAAATAATCAGCCGTAAGCATACAAGTAATTTCTATTTGCATGCTTAAATTCAAGCGCATTCTTAATCATTTTCAGGATTGGTCCCTACAGATGTTGCACATTCAGCTAAGTTTGAATCAACCAGATTTCCATATGAATGTAGCATATTATTTTGTGATGAAAATGTTCCATTTCTTCTTTCAGTTGCTTTTGATGTTTATTGTGTACATTAAATGACTTTTCTGAATATGCAGTACTGAGTAAGTTTTCTGCCTTTGGCATTTCTTACTTGTAGTTTGCCTCTGGAGTTTATTTTTTAATTAACTAACAGCCTTTATCAGTAAAGAAGTTCATTTTTTCCAGAATTATACACATTAGCTTTCAATGGTATTTGTAAATTATAATAAAGGTTAAGAACTGATATATCACTCAGGTAGAAGCAGAGCTCTAGGTGATTTAGTTTCATTTGCTGTGCTCAGTATTTCTAAGCATTGTTTGCACACAGATATATGCACCTTTTTCAACTGTATCCCTGCCAAATAAATCGTATTAATTTCAAAGTGTACAAAACCATCTATATTAGATATGAATATAGAAAAATATCCACACCCTAGTTATACTTTATGTTTTCCTGTACTTCTGTACATACAAGTAAGTATACAAATTTATACAAGAAAAAGGCCATTTAATTGTTTTAAATTGTGGGAAAGATGATTTTCTGCCTGCTGCAAGGAAAAGTAGCATTTTCTAATCCACAGTCCTCTGTTCTCCCTAACTTCCATCTTATATACCTGTATTACAGGCTCCTAATCGTGAGAGATTAGCAGTCATAACTCCTGTAATCACACCAGTGGTCAGAAAGCCAGGCTTTATCTGAGAGATAAGCGACTCTTACAAAATGCTTGACTTCTAAGAGATACTAAAAAAGAAATATTCAGAGAAGAGTCAGTTTGTTCTGACTAGCAGAGATTATACCTAGGAAATTTTCAGGGGACACCACATTGGGAACAGCTGCAATCAGACACAAGTCAGGATGCAAAATGACACTGAGACACAGGAGAAGCTGAGATCAACAAGATGAGACTCAATAAAAGTGAGTGCTGAGTATTACCCTCAGTGAGAAAGCAAATGTGTCAGTACAATACGCAGCAGAATGACAAGGTATGGCATGAAAGGATCTTGGTTTCAAAGAATTGCAGAATCAATAAGGTGGGAAAAGACCTCTGAGATCATCGAGTCCAACCCATGACCAAACACCACCATGTCAACTAGACCATGGTCATGTACAGTCTTTCCTTAAATACCTCCAGAGATGGTGACCACCATCTCTCTGGAAAGTCCTTTCCAAAGTCTAATCAGCCTTTCTGTGAAGAAATTCTTCCTGATGTCCAACCTAACCTCCCGTGGCACAGCTTAAAACCATGCCCTCTTGCTCTACTTGCCTGGGAGAAGAGGCTGACCCCCACCTTGATACAACCTCCTTTCAGGTAGCTGTAGAATGATAAGGTCACTCCTGAGCCTCCTCCAGGCTAAACACCGCCTCTCTCAGCCAGTCCTTGTAGGACTTGTGCTTGAGACCCTTCACCAGCTTCATTACCCTTATCTGCACTCACTCCAGCACCTCCATGTCCTTTAGAAGCTCAGGTCAAGGTAACACTGCTGAAATGTGGAGGATGAGCTGTGCCTGGGGCATAGCACTGCAGGGGCACCACACCAAGGACACAGGAGGCTGGCACCAGGTTGCACCCAGGGCTTTGGTGGTTCGGGATATCCCCCCAGCTGGGGGGGATCCAGTGCCAGATGTGTGTGGCCTGCCAGGCCCAGCTGAAGGCTTTGGTCTTGTTTAGCTCTGAAACTCGATGCCTGAGGCTGCAGAGAGAGGGAGGCAGATGAAAAATGCCATCAGCACTTTCCAGCACGCAATGAGCCCAGAGAGCAGCTACTTTGCCACCGGGGCAGGTCAAAGTAAAGTCATAGAATCACAGAATCAATTAGGTTGGAAAAGACCTCTGAGATCATCGAGTGCAACCCATGACCAAACACCACCGTGTCAACTAGACCATGGCACTAAGTGCCGCGTCCAGTCTTCCCTTGCTGCACCACCTCCCTGGGCAGCCCATTCTGATTTCTCCTCACCCGTTCTGTGAAGAAATTCTACCTCATGTCCAATCTAAACAAGTTGGTATAGTTTGGAGCGCTGACCCGGGCAAGGTGCTCGGGACAGACCCTCCCTCAGGGGGAACGGAGACCGCGCCCGTGGGGTCTGCGGCGCTGAGGAACCCCGGGCGCGCGGAAGGAAGGAGAAATGGAGGAGAGAGAGCAGGATGCAGCGGGGCCGCTCCGCCCCTCGGCGCCGCTTGGCGGGAAAGCCAGGCTTTGGCGGGCTCGGAGGAGCAGCGGCGGGCGGGAGCAGGACCAGGACCGCTGTGCAACCGGAGCCCAGCCCGTCCCGCAGAGAGCCTCTCGCCTGACATGCCCGCCGAGGGGGAGCCGCTGAGCCCGCCGGGGCTCGGCGAGTCGCAGTACCTGCAACAGGTACGGCACATCCTACAGCACGGCCACCGGAGGGAGGATCGCACCGGCACTGGCACCCTCTCTGTGTTCGGCATGCAGGCGCGGTACAGCCTGAGAGGTGGGCACCGCCGGCACCCGCGGCCCCTGCCCCGGCTCCCTGCCCCGGCTCCCTGCCCCTGCTCCCTCTCCCTGCCCTTTGCTCCCCGTCTCCGGCCTCCTGCCCCTTCTCCCTGGCCCCGGCCCCCTGCCCCTGCTCCCTGGCCCCGGCCCCCTGCCCCTGCTTCCTGGCCCCTCTCCTTATCCCCTGCTCCCAGGCCCTGGCCCCCTGGCCCCGGCCCGCCGGGATGGGTGTTGGGAGGTGTCACACGCCATCTTGTACCCCGGGACTGACCCGCTCCCGCCCGCCGAGAGATCGGAGTACGAGAATTACACATCCTCTCCCAACTCCTTGCTGCATATCCAAACCTCTGAATATCAAATGGTGGCGTTGAGAAAAGCCTAAGTCTCTTCACCCTTCGCGAATGCCTGGTCTCCTCTGACACTTTAAAACTCTCTTCCAGATCAGTTTCCACTGCTGACAACGAAGAGGGTGTTCTGGAGGGGAGTGCTGGAGGAGCTGCTATGGTTCATCAAGGTTCGGTGTTTGGATGTCTCTATGCCTGCTGTGCCTGAGAGTAGGATAAATGGAACGAACTAGTGTGGATTAAGGGATTTGGGGTAACTACAGATGCTTCTCTTCCTATGAGAGAAGTGCAACCACCTAATATTTTGACCACACATGGAAGGCCATTATCTTCAAGACATTCAGCCTTTTAGTGCAGACTGTTGCTAACAGTGCACTCAGAAGAGTTTTTCTTCTATTTCTTTTTGAGGGATATAGTCTGAAATAGTGAGGGCTTTTGCTGATTTGACTATACTCCAGAGTTATAAAGCCTAATACAGTGTCTTTTCTTAGTGTTTGAATAAGAAATAATAATATGAAATAGACAGTAGGCAATTTAGTGATCTGCTTTTTAATATTGAAATAGCTTTTATTGATTTGAACAGAAACAAGCAGTGCAGAACCACAAGTGAAGTGAGATTGATGTAAACACTAGGCTTTTTAGTAGCAAAAAAATGAGATCTAATAGAGCTGATAGCTGTAGGTAGAATAATAAAATTGAACTATAGATAATACATTACAATGTAAGTGTTCCTTTATATGTTGTGACATTGTGCAGGTATGGGAAAGTCTATCTAACCATTTGCTACATAGCAGGACTCAAATACACATTCAGTTTTTAAAAGCTTTGGGTGTTTTTTTTCAAATGTAAAAGACTAGACACTCCCCAAACCGGCATAACTTCTGTGTTGAATTTTTGAATGTGCCAATTTGGACTTGTTGCAGGATTCAGCAACATTTCTCTGGGTCATTTTCCCATTTTTGTCATTTTAACAAAAGGATTTTTAATACCTTAAGCTCATTATAGGTGGTTTGGCAAAGACAGTGCCTTTGTTAGTCTGTTTTCATCCATCTGTAAAGTAACATCTTGTTCTCTGCAAATGTGCTTATGAAATGACATACCACAGTTGACCTTGAGGCTGTACTGTTTGTGCATTCACAAAGTTAGGAGAATCCTGTGTTAAACAACAGTAGTGTGGCTGTTCCTCAAACTTCATCCCAGTATGTTGCTCTCAAGTTTTATTCTGTCCATGTGCAAGAACCTCATCCAGTACATTAATTAGACTGTTCATCCTTTGTAAGTAGAGAAATACTGTAGACTAGAAAAGCTTAATGCAGCTGTTTCAGGTAATGTCCTCAGTGTTGAAATTAGGAGGCAGAATTCCTACTGTCTGTGTTTTGTAGGGTTCTACAAATGCCAAAGAGCTCTCTGCAAAAGGTGTGAAGATTTGGGATGCTAATGGGTCACGTGAGTTCCTGGATAAGCAGGGTTTCAGCACCAGAGAGGAGGGGGATTTGGGACCGGTATATGGTTTCCAGTGGAGGCACTTTGGAGCAGAATACAAAGATATGCACACAGGTAATCACATACAGATACAGTCTTGTTCGCTTAGTGAGACAACTGTGATACAGCACTTCAAAACTCTGAGTTTTGTTAAGGGACCAAGTGTGAACTGATAGCCAGAATAAATAGTGTTTGAGAGAGTTAATTTAACTTTTTTTTTTTCTTACCTAATCTAATTATCCTGAAAGATGTAGCTTTGTATATTGTAGTTTGACATTTGTAGAACTGATGGATCATAAGGAATACACTGTTATTCTTTTATCTAGACCAGATATGGTCACTGATAGCTGGAAGGATGTGTGCCTGTTGCAGTCCAGAAGCCCAAGCTAGCTCCATTTGATAGCAGTGGAACGCAGGCTGCCATCTCTGTGTATCAATGTGGGGTCCCAATTTCTCTGATACTGTTGTTCTGGAAAGAACTGGCAGTGCACTACATTCATTGGAGACAGGGGAAGAGAAAGATTTTTCTATTCTGCATCTGGAACAAAGTAGGATGTATCCATAGCTGATGATGCTGTGGACAGAACAGCTGTAACAAGTTATGATGTGATGCAGTACCTGTTGGTATTATTTTCTGTGGAACGGGTTCATTAAACTTACTCTGAAGTGTGTTGCTGGCTCTTTTCTAAGTCACTGAAGGAGAAGATGTAGAAAACATTTTGAGGACCTATCTGGTGTGATTTTAAACTCGGACTAACATGGTTAGTTATCTTGGTGGGTTTTTTGTCAATACGGCCTCAAAATTAGTTACAGATATTAGACTTGGTATTGGCATGTTGACTACTAGTTTTATGCTAACACAAATGGTGCAAATTGTGAACTGACACATCTGAAAACTTAGTGAAAAATTTCAGGATTCCTGAACTTAGTAGGAGTCAAAACATAGACTGGAAAAAATGAACAAGATAAATTCCCATGGGTTTCATTACTAATAGATTTCCTTAAGTTGCGTTACTAATGGATAGGTAATTAGCTTCAGGAACTAACATAACCATTTGACAAGGCTTCTGGCATGGTATTCCTGGCAGAAGAATTCCCTGAGCTACTAATTGTGTCATGGAAGGATCACAGAATATTCTGAGTTGGAAGGGACCCACAAGGATCATCAAGTCCAACTCTTATGTGAATGGCCCATATGGGGATCAGGTATTACTACCTTGCTTGCCAGCTTGGGTCTCCCTGTAGCCTAATTTGATGTTGCTGCAATAAGTTATTAGAAAAAAGTAGTTACCAGTCATGCTGATTCACTGGCATGAGTCAGAACAATGATTAACAACTAATGACTCTTTAATTCTGAAATCCATTCTGATGGTCAGTTAGTATCAGTAAATTTCTTATATAATTGGAATTGAGCCTAAAATTCAGCCTGCAAGTTATCATTGGGTGAAATGTATTATCCTGTGCTATACATGATTAAAGTTCCCTTGTGGCTTTAAATGCTGTGGAAATTTAGTTTTCATACATGATCTTATGAGTGCTAGATGGTTGTGTTTATTCATCTGTCAATAACTTTGTACTTTTGAGTATGTAAAGAGTGCTGGTTTTCCTCAATACTGGTCTGGGCATAATTTTTTTTAATAAGAAGGAGCACTGTAACATGCAAGTTTAACATCTAGAAAGGCATTTTAATCCAGAAGTGCAATAAACGATTTAGTTTAAATACTGTGAATGACAAGGTGGTAATATCTTGTCCATTCCAGTACAGCTCTTTTCCTGTTTAGGTAACAAGTCATCATGAAAGATAAAATATCATTCTTTGTTCAACTATTTTTTTGTATTGCAACTTTTGTTTCTTGGGATTTAGTGATTATGCAGACTTCTTAGTTGGTCTTAAAAAATGTCAAGTTGTTAAGAATGGAATAAAGTGTTCTAAATAAGAATGTTCCTATTTCAGTGGGTGCTAAAGGTAGTCAAAGCACACAAAAGAGATGGGGGGGACATGTCAAAATACCATCATGAAAATTTCACAAGCTTTAGAGCACCCTGAGAAACACCAAGAATAGCCTATACTTAGAGTGTGCCAACTAATTAATATCACTTTCAAAGTTGCAATAAAGTTTTCAGAGGTTGTAATTTCAATATTACTTCTCAATGGCATGTGGGGTGGGTGTTAAAAAAATATCATGACTCGAATCTGTCTGGTTTAGATCTTATTTGGTATCTTTCTCCAGATTACTCCAACCAAGGAATTGATCAGTTGCAAAAAGTGATTGAAACGATCAAAACCAATCCAGATGACAGAAGAATCATTATGTGTGCTTGGAATCCAAAAGGTATTGAATAGCAGAGTTTAAATGAATGCAGTTGCACATTACCTTGCTTTATGCTAAATTATGTTCTATTCCTGTGTCCACAGTCAATACTATTTGGTGTCCTTATTTACTCTTTATAAAAACTATCAAGAATACAGTAAAAATGACCAGAGGTTATAAGTTTGATTTTCTTTCTACCTAAGTCTTATGCTCAGACCTCAAAAATATTGAACCATTTCTTTAGAGTGTTTCTTTCCATGTTAAACTTAACAAACCCCTTAAAACTAGAGAACAAAAATATTATTTGTGTTGTAATCACCTCTTTGAACATAGGTTGTCTAGATATCCATTCGCTCTGTAGGGCTACTTCTAAACAAGAGCTAGTGCAAGAGAATGTTTAACTTCACCAGTGGTGATCTGTGCTCCAAAAAATCCACTGGTGTATGAAAGGGCTGCAACATGCTGTTACTGTTATTTATAAGGTTAAGCATTCTCAGATATCAGAAGATATCTGGTTAAAGTTTTTCCTGCCAAGCTGCAATTATGCTATCTGCACTTTTTAAGTGTGGACAAACACTCAAAAGATCTTTTGTTTTCTGATTTTTTTTTAATTGATCATTGCTTTTATATCTCAAGAAGCAGCAAAGGCACATTGCAATGGGAAAGGGGGTAAGATGAAGCAGTTGGAAGTCGCTTTAGGGTACATGCTTAATTTTACTCCTAATGTCTTCCTTTGGGGAAATCAGCTGTCTCACTGAGGTGAGTAGCAGTGAACTGCTGTGCAGCATTATGGCATAAATCTGTTATGTGGAATATCTGTTTATGACTTTCTGGTCATGCAGCCCAGGAGACAGCTTGTCATGACCCAGACTTAATTGCTTGGGCAGCAGGTGTTTATAAACAAGAGAAACAAGCAACAGAATGACAATGCTTTTGGCTCTCTACTGTATCCCGTTACATGCTTGTTTAGGTTTTGCATCTTCTACATTCATAACACACTAATGCTGCTACTGTTTTTTTCTGTACTGCAATTCCTAGATATTTCTCTGATGGCTTTGCCTCCATGCCATGCTCTTTGCCAGTTTTATGTTCTAAATGGTGAATTGTCTTGCCAACTCTATCAGAGGTCTGGAGATATGGGACTAGGAGTGCCTTTCAATATTGCCAGCTACTCACTGCTCACATACATGATTGCCCATGTCACAGGGCTAAAGGTAGGTTATTTTATCATTTTACTTAATCTTGTCTGAGAAATGAAGGACTGAAAGACAGGACATGAAAATGTCCAAGAAAAACTGGAATGAACGTACTTAGAAATCTTGCTGAAATATGTGTAAAAAAGAGCTCTGCGAATTTGATGTGAATTGCCTCTGGTTTGTGTGGGCAGTTAGGATCAGAAACGTAAGAATTCTTAAATTAAGGTTAAACAGACAGAAGATCCTCCAGGTCATGACCATGTCAAAACTGGCATGTTCACTAGTCTTCCTCTCAGAAATCTGAACAGAGCACTTGTCCTTATGGGATAGTAACATACAAGTGGTTAAATTTTGTAGGGTGTGTTTATTGGAAGCGAACAGTAGCTCGGAAGTTGCTGTTAAGGTTTTAATTTGGATATTCTGCCCACCTAACTTCCAGCTGTAATTTCAGCTAGGTATTTCTTTGATTTCCTACTGTAGATGATTATATAGAGTGGTAGTATGTGCTCAAATAGCTCCTGCCCTGACTTCAGAGATATATTTTTTAATTTGACAGAGAAATTAAAAATGCTCAGCAATCAGGTACATGTGAAAACCCCTTTTCTTTAGGGCATGTAAAAATTATACTAGTAAGGCCAGAAAACCACATGTATTCTTCATTCTTTTCAGCCTGGAGAGTTCATACACACTTTAGGAGATGCTCACGTATATCTGAATCATGTGGAATCTCTTAAAGTTCAAGTAAGTACTTACTCTGTAATCTTGTGTTGTTTTATCTTCCACAATTCTTGTTCAATGCAGAATTATCTTGGTATTATAAATTTCAAATATTAACTTGTGTGGCTTTTCTTCTCATTTCAACCCTAATAATTGTAATATCCTAATAAATGTAATATTCAACTAAGGTTGCAAACAGAAATACAATACAAACATGATGGAAATGCACATTAGTGTACTACTTTGGAACCAAATTAGAGATTCAGAATCTGTACTCCTACTTATGGCTAAATCATGCCAAAACCTTATAAAATCATTCTGCCTAATCCAGATAAACAGAAAATAAAATGTCTTTGTAGTATAGCAGAAAATGATAACTTACCGGTTCACAGAGTTAATCAATATAGCCTTTTTCAGCCAAATAGTAATATTTTCTTCAGTAAGTCATTTGTTGCAGTAGGAGAAAATCAGAATTCGATTTGATTTGACTTAGCTTGGATTGACTGTCCTCACTATTCATATGGTTCAAAACCATTCAGAGAACTAGTTATTGGTTTGGACCCAAATCGTCCTGTGTGAAACTGCAGCACATTTGATGGACATCTGGGTCAGAGTTTCCAATATAGTTTGCTCTGGAAGGAATATGATCTGTAACCACCAGAATTGCTTCGCCCACTGGAAGTGCTTGCAGTGCATTTGGATGATCAAGGAATTAACTTGAAAATTATGCTACTGTCCCTATGAAAATACTAAAGTAGATTCCACCTAACAATATTAAAATTTTCTTCCCTTTTTTTTCTTAGTATAAGTCTTCTTGGTGGGGAGGGAAAGTCTACATAGTATAATCTGAATTGACATTGAGAACACAAAATCTCTCAAGTATTAAGCTTTTTACAGTAAGCTTGCTTTTATTTCAGCTTCAGAGGGAGCCAAGACCTTTTCCTAAACTCAGAATTCTTCGTAAGGTTGAAGACATCAGTGACTTTAAGGCAGAAGACTTTCAGATTGAAGATTATAATCCTCATCCACCTATTAAAATGGAAATGGCTGTTTAATGCTATAAACCAGCATTAAATACTTATGTGGAAATGTACCTAAGCTACTTAGTTTCTCTAAAGTGATGGGGCTTTTATATACTTCAAAAGATATCTACTTTATTATTAAAAAGAAATAGATACTAGCAGACCAGAACTGCCTTCAGTACTAACCTGTAATTGTACAGAACAGATGATTATGTCTGATGTACTGTGCAGACATTAACCCAGTTGTTAGTGAGCTAGTTTTCTACATGTTTCATTGGCCACTTCTATTACCATTCAATTACTATGAGCCTTTGCTTATGTGCTTGATATAAAAGAGGATTCCTTCAGGGTTGGAGAATTTGTTAAATATATTCTAAAGAGTATATGTCTAATAAAGGTTTTTTTAAAAAAAATTCTGGAAGGTATGATGCATATTTAAGTTTGCTGTGATTGTTTATGTTTAGTAGTAAAAAAGAGTCGAAAAGCAAAGGATCTTGGAGAGTAAGATCTAGCAAGGAAAAACACTCAAACTTCCCATGGTCTTTATAGATGAACCATCAGGAAGACAAAAGATCTTAATGAAACCTTGCCTGAAATGCAGTCTCTGCATAACATCTCTGTAGCAGCAATTTTTTTTATTCCTCAACACTACATGAATGATTAAATGATTCAAACAGAGCTGTAGTTAAACAGAAGTAACCAGATATCATCAGTAATCAGCTGTCTGTCGTCATTTAAAACCAGATCCCACAAACATGTGGACTGATTTTGCAGCCTGGAGCAGTAAAAGCTAGAGATCATAGTATTTGTAGGAACGGAGTTTATTAATTTAATCTTAGCAGAATTCAGTTTTTATCTCTCCTTATCCTTGCAACTTTTGCATTAACTTCCGTTCTTATAAAATTCCTCTTCAGGATTTTAATTGTGAATAGATCTATGGTTATAATTCAGACATAGCATATTCAATATATATTTGAACACATGGAGAAATGCATAGTAATTTTTTGATTAAATTTTAAAGTCAGTAAACTTGTAAATATTGGAAAAGTGTATTATTTCTGATAATTCTAAGAATTCAATAATTGGTGTGCTTTAATTACATTCATTCAGTTATGTCACATGCTCCTCCTAATAAATTCCATCTCAGCTCTACTAGTCTTATATTTTAAAGTCACCTAGTTCAGATAGTCCAGGTGTCTTCTACATTAATGATACATCCTAGCTAGGGGTTGTCAGCCACTTCTTACCATGTGCATACTTTTGTCAGTTAAAGGTTCTTGAGTGTTTTTACAGTCCTCTAAAGTACAAAAAACCAGTTTAAGTTGCAAATTCACTTAACGGTTCTGCCTACACTTAGCAAGTTAAGTTTCTTTTGCTGGAAACCACTTTATGTAACACTGCAGATAAGGTGGAATCTGCAGGATGTTTTAGCAAGTGTAGCCAGAGAGGATGTGAAATAAAATGTTGGCCTCAGGGCTTGACTAGTGGGAATTAGCAGTCTCAGTGAGGTTATCCAGGACAGGAATACCTAGCCAAGAGAAGATTTGAGAATGGGAATCATTTATTTCCTTTCATAAATTACAGAGGAGTTAGGTGTATGGACACACATAGCATGCCCTAACAGACCAATATATATCGCTCTGGAAGAGCTACTACTTTTTTACTGCCAATAGCAGTTGTTGAAGTGAAGCTTGTACCTTGAAGACCAAGAAGGTTTACGGTGCTCAAAAGATGAGACAGATGAGACAGCACACTTTAATGTGAATAAAAGTGATAATACATTTTAAAATTCATGGGTATGAGACTTCTATGAGATTTCATGCAAAAAAAATGAATATTCAAAGAATTTGAATATATAGGCTTAAACAGGAGGTACTCAAGGAATTTTGATTTGCAGAATGTGAACACTCTTCACTGCTGCAAAGATGACTAGTATGACTGCAGGCCATATTCAGAGCAGTATTTTAGACAAAACATGGGACATTGCTGGATCCTTTTGGGAAGCTGTGAAAGGGACCATAGGCCTACTGAGAGAAGGGATTGTTCTTGGACTTATTTCCTGACGAATAAGCTGTCTCAGAAGCTCACAGTTCCTCACTCTCCCCTGCTGATGACTTAGAGCTCTACAGGTGGAATTAGAAGTCAGTTTCTTACCAGCTCTGCATATCTGTAGTATTTCTGAGTCTTTGCTATTTGCCCTGTTGACTGCTACACTAATTCTGCCTCACCATTTGGACTTGAAGAGTTTCCTCTCTTCTGTAATTCCTCCTCCAGATGCATCTTTGTATCATTTCTCAAATTTCCAAGGGCAATTCAATAACTTGGAGGTAGCAATGAAATTTCTTACCACTTTGGTCAAATACCAACTTCTACTTTCTACTTCCTTAGACAAGCTTTCTTTACCTATATTATTTCTGACATGTTTTGATATGTTGCAAAATTGGCTTACTGCGATACCACAAAGAATATTAGTTATCTGATTATGACAGATGAAAGGTCAGAAGAACAGCTTCTGAATTTTGAGACAAACATCTGTCTGATCAGCCATCAAAATCAATAGTCTGTTAACGAGACTGGTTTGGTGAGTTTGCCACCATAGTGACTGGTGTCTGAATATGGAATGCAGCCCAAGTTTCAAGTGCCTTTATCAAAACCACAAATGGTTCACTTTCACCTGCTTGAAGTCTAACCTGCACCTCTGCTTTCCCTTTGTAGACCACAGGAAGGTGGGCTTGTGGAGTAACAACACAAATTTAGGCTGTGACCATCATGTAGCAACATATTTTTTAAGAAAAAAAAGAACAATCTCTGTAACCAGTTGCTACTGCCTTTTTTTTGTATAACTAACCTGTTTTCAAGCCTTTTAGATACTTACATATGTCCATACTAGAGATGACAGTGCCACACCAAGACATCCAAAGCCCTTTGGTCAGCCCCACAGCATGACATGAAACAAAGAATATTACAGCAGTGCATGCAAGCTTATGCTCAGAAATCACAGGCATGACAGCTGAAGAAACTAATCAGACTGGCTTGAAGGGTGGGGAGAGGAAGATTTTCTCATTGCTGCTGCATTTTGAAGAGCCTTACTCTGGAACTGTTTGACCATCAGCAGCACAGACAAGTTTTCATTCATGCTTCCCAGACTGCAGCTGTCAGTTTGGAGATAACTCAAGGCCTTGGCTTCTAGAAGCTGTTTAAATATCACTCTGTTGTGGCAGTGTAAGGGAAAAAATGAAAAGTTAAGACCTGAAGTCTCTAAAAATAACATATTCCAAGAGGTGCTGGCAACTCATATAAAAACATTTGTACAGTGTCCCTCCTGTGTGTGTCTCTATAAATCCAAATTATTTTAATTACTCCATTTAAATGACAGATCACATAAGAATTTGGTTGAAGTGAACTTCAGGGATGTTGCCAATACTAAAAATCAGCTTATACTTGTAATGTTAGGAGCACTACACCTGACACAATGAGGTGAGGTACAGTGAAAAAAAAAATCAATGTGTGCCAAAGGGCATAGTCGTCCTGGAATGAGTTTGGAAATTACTACCCCTTAACTGGATGTTGAATCCCGTAAGTGAAAGTGAAGTGAAAGCGCTGAGTCAAAATGGCTGTTCCATTCTAGGCCAAGGACATGGGTTTAATGTGCACAAAGGCACGCTGAGTTTGTAGTGAAACGATTATGTAATGCTCACACAAGGTGACCTGGCAGCTCCACCAGATAATTGCCTCACAGATTGCCTCAAAATCTTTTTAATGTTTAGGCTCCTTTAGGAGCCAACTCACACCCCTTTGGTCACCTAACTGTGTCCACAGACAGGAACTTGGGGTACTCTGGGGATAGGATTCAGCATGCTCAGGACTGCACAGCTTTGGGATGTTCTTGCCTTGGTGAATGAGCAGCTATTCCCACTTTGAGACTGCTAAAGTGAATATATCAGTGATTCTGCTGTAGGAAATCATTCCTCCTGGAGACTACTCCAGCCAGATGAGAGATGGACTTGTAGAGGAGATACACTTGGATGAGAGTCAGGATTCAATTTCTAGCTGTGCTAGAGATTTCCTATCTGGAACTTGGCTAAGCTGTTCAGTCAGTTAAGGCCTCATATTAATTTCCCATGTTTCTAGTACAGATAATTGTATTCCATTTATTCATGGGGGAGTTCTGTATATAAATAGATTAAATGCTTATGTGGTTCTTGGATGTTATGGTGAAAAGAAGAGAAAGGTTATACAAACCATCAAGTAAAGCTAGCATTCAGGACCAGCCTTTAATTTGTAAAGCAAGGCTATACAAAAGGGTAATTCAAACCCATCCTAATAGACATTCATTATAAAACACTCCCCTCTGCAAATTAGGTGTCCTATCTACTGGTAGACAACAGCTGAGAGCAAGAAGTACAATTAAATATGTTGATAGCAGGGCTTGGCATGAGAAACCAGCAGCAGAGAAATTACACTAATGTCATCACTGTTGTTTCCAGTTACTGCAGAGAACCGAGAATTTGTTAATTCACATTGTTTGGCTCTGTAGATTTGGTGTCATTACTTGGAAAAAGGATGGATGCAAATAAAAAACAATTTACTTTAGGCTGGAGATTGGTATTCTAAAAGGTACCAGGCTGTCTACTGACACCTTGCTATTTATCATATATCCAGGGGTTGATTCTGGTCTTTGGACTCATTAAAAATATTTCATGCGAAATGCATTTAATTATAGCTGATGGCAGTGACTTAAGTACTAATACCAGCAATGAGTTTCCTTGGGGCAAAGAACAGGTTTCAACCTTTTAAAATAGCTGCGTATGTACCAGACAAATTCCTCCTTAGGACAGGCAGGGCACTGAGTGCACTGACAGACCTTGCCATGACCAGTCTCACTGGGGGCTCACTCTCCCTCTCCACAGGCCTTAGTTTCTGTCAGGGTTGAATAGCAGGTTGTATTGGGTCTGGCTGAGCTGGAGTTCATTTCCCCACAGTAGCCCTCACAGTGCTGTGCTTTGCATTGGTATCTAGAAGGGAGTTGATAACACACCGGTGTTTTGGCTACTGCTGAGCAGGGCAGGCACAGCATCAGCACTGTAACATTGCTTCCTCAATCGAGGGCAAGATCCTGAGAGGGGACACAAGTAGGCCAGCTGACCCAAACTGAGCAAAGGGATATTCCATACCATATGATGTCAGCTCAGATATAAAAGCTAAGGAAAGGAGCAGGAAGGTGGGCATTCATTGTCTCCAATGGCTGCCTGCTGAGGAACCATCACGCATACCGAAGCCCTCCTTCTCGGGAGTGGCCGACCATGGCTGCTCATGGGAAGTAGAGAATAAACCGTGTTATCTTTCGCTTTGCTTTTGTGCGCAAGCTTTTGCCTGGCTTCTGTTTCAATAAACTGCCTTATCT